CCGCACCAGAGTTCGTTTGGAAGTGAACCAAGACCACCTCAACAAGCGGGTCTCGGTCTGGTTGTTTGATCCGCACCAGAGTTCGTTTGGAAGTGAACCAAGACCACCTCAACAAGCGGGTCTCGGTCTGGTTGTTTGATCCGCACCAGAGTTCGTTTGGAAGTGAACCAAGACCACCTCAACAAGCGGGTCTCGGTCTGGTTGTTTGAACCGCACCAGAGTTCGTTTGGAAACGAACCGAGACCACCTCAAAAAGCGGGTCTCGGTCCGGTTGTTTGATCCGCACCAGAGTTCGCATGAGTGTATTCACACCTGCAGAAAAGGTCCGGACCAACGCTGGAAACGAACTCTGGTTCGTTTAAAGCGGAGCAAATTATCAGGTCTGAATACGACCTTAGAGGCGCTATAGAGCCTCTAGTGTTTAGACATGGAACTGCATCCAGCTGACGCTGGATGCAGTTCCATGTCTAAACACTAGAGGCGCTTGATTATTCTTGAAGTAAGAAAAAACTGAGTCAAATCAAGTATTTCAAGAATCTTACCAAGTAAAACGTTCTTTCTCCACTGGCAGAAATGTTTGACTTAATTAGAGTCAAATTTTCAGACTAACAAGACAAATAATCTTACACATTCTGAAAACAAGATGATTATTCTTACACAATCAGTTCTTGTTTAGTAAATCAGTCTGAAAACAAGATCAAAAAGACTTTTTGGCTGATTTAAGGTTTTAAAACTTGGTTAGGTGGACAGTTTTTGCAGTGTACAAAACCCTCTATTTCCAGTTTTCTTTTCAATCGTTCACATTTTATTCTCCATTTTTAAATGTTCTCCTTCAATCTTACGCATCCTAAATTTCGGCGCTTGGATCTTTCTTTCATTTCTTGCACCTGCATTCGCCCCCGGGCGGAGCGAGGAGAACAACAAATGGCTGCTTTTTACCAATATCCAGAATCAACTTCATGACTGTTTTCTTGGTTGCCACACATTAATGCAATAAAGAGAAGCTGCTTAAACTTCTTCACAACTTGGTAATTATGTTGACAATCTTACAGCTTTAATGCACACAGCACAGCGGGCTCCGTAGTTTAGTTTCCAACTATTTATGCAAACTCTAAAACAAACACACAAAAAAGACATTTAACTCATTTAGAAGATTGCCATTTAATCTGCAAAGTCCCTTTAAGCTAGAACTGCTTATTATTCTTTATTAAAGCAACCTTTTTTCTCCCAGCACTGTGACCAGGCTGGCAGAGAGTGATAGCTCTGTCAAACACTTCTTTACAAAATAACTGCTTTAATTAGAGAGAAAACTAACTGTATCCTTCTCATTATTGCTGATCATATAACAGGGAAGCTTTGAAAACAACTTAAGAACCTGATTTTTTTTCAGTTAATTGGTTTGTTGGGTTAGAAAGGCTGAACGTCATCTTGATAGAATTCATTACTGTCAGAAAACAGACAATAAAAAATGAATCTAAAGCATTTTAGTCAAAAGCTTTTTGCGGGTTTAGATGTTCAGGGTGGGTCGGAAGTTTCAGGACACACTTTTATTTTAGAAACGAAAGGGAACATAAATAACTGAACACCCCCAGCCACTAACGGGTGATGGGGGTCTATCTTTTAGGCTGCGTCCAGAACATGGCTGAGAGCTTTAAAGCCGCCATATTGGCACAAAGGCAAATTTTTCCCAAAGGCAAAGGGGACATTTAGCATATTGTCGAAGACCAAAACTGTCTCAGAAATTGGTTGCCGCAACCAGATATGCAATATCTCTTGTGAAAAAGAAAAAAATAGTATAGGTCTTCTGGACGGGTTCTTCTCTAATGAAACGTTTCGTCTCTCCTCCAAGAGACTTCTTCAGTCTGAGAGTTTC